ACAGTTCTGGGTCTCCAGTGTTATTACTGCAAGTGTCTAATCATTCTCCCTGCCTCCAGTCTTATCCCTTTATGATAATTTTCCACAATGATGCTAAAAATTGTCTTCCCCAAATGCAAATCTCACTATTCACTTGCTCAGAACTCTTCCGTGTGTTCCTCTTGCCCTCTTAATGTAATATATCTTACAGCAACCTTTATGGTTTGGCTGCTACTAATTTCTCGTCTGCTTCACTTGGCAAAACTACATCCCCTGTGTTTTAGACACACTCAAATATCCACTTCAGCTAATATACCATATTTGTCCTGTTCACCGGCTCTTGTTCTAAACTATTCTCTCAAAATATCTTTTAGTTCCCTTTTTAATACTATCTGTGATTCCCATCAAACTTCTCCAACTTCATCTGAATAACCCTCTTAATATTTTAGATTGTCCATGAAACAAAGTGCAAGATTCCTTGTGTATAATGTAGATTATTATTCCTCACAGACTTTTTGTTCTATCTCCTCCCCTGCTTCTGGAATTTCCCAAAGGCAATTAGATCTTTACCATATTTTGCCTTAATAGACCTAAGTAGACCCATAGAATTCTGCAGTTTGTTCTTAAGATTTGTTACAACTGACTATCAGTGTTATGCCCACACTAGTCACCTAACTCCATGAATGCAAAGACTCTGGGTATCCTGCTACTGCTGGATCCCAGGAGTCTGTAACAGTAGACCCTATGGGTCTACCTATGGGGTCTGCTATTAAGAGGTCTACTATAAATATTTGTTGAATGAGCATTAAATGAAATAGGGAGGGGGTTTTGACATTCTCCAAGTCCTGTGGAAGAGATATCCACTTGTTTTAAAGAAATGAGGTAGAGAAATAGCTTATGAAACCTTTCTCTTTTCTCTCTCTTAGTGTACTGTGCAGTAGCATCACATCAGGATAGTCACAGCTCCTGTTGGTCCCATCCCTGGAGGCTCCATCCAAAGTGAACATTTTCTTGGCCTTCCTGTTAAAAGAAGTACAACCTATTGCTTAAGGAAGTATATTCCAGGAAGAATTTAGTTCACATTGTGTCAAATACCAAATTTAAATCTAACTTAGGAAAACTTATGAAAACAGCGTAAAAGTCATCATTGACTATTTTCAGAGTAGCTGCAATATCCTCTCAGATATTTGTTGTCTTCTTTTTGCCTGCACCAAACTTAGGTGTTCCTTCGAGAGCACTCATTCATACCAGAGGCTGTCCTTAGTCACCATGCTCTGTTTCATCTTTTCCACACACCCATATATAAACATATGAGTAACAAGTCTATATCTTCAGCCCCTTTTGGCCCCAGTACCTCTGGATATCTCAGATCAAATGCCTATAGACAGCTCCATAACAACATATCTTCAAGGAACTTGTCTCTAGCAGTGAATCTCCTGCTTTTCCTTCTGAGGTCTATCCCTACTCCCAGGCCCAAGTCCTGGGAGGCACTCTTGGCAACTTCCTTCCCTCCCCTGCTAGAAGTGATCATTTACACAGCAGCCATATCTTACAAGGTTTTGGTGTTTTTCTGCTTCCTTGGACATGGAATTTTCACCACAATTGGATCTTTACCATTTTTTTTTTGCCTTAATAGCCCCAAGTAGACCCCTAGAATTTTTGTCTTAAATTCTGCAATAGATAATTGGTCTCTCCATTTTTAGGTTTGCCCATTTCATGTGTTTTCTACCATTTTCCTCACATATGCCAGACTAATCTAAACCTAACTCTTCACCTGACAGCTTCACTCTACTCTCCCCTGCTGAAAATCTTCAGTGGCTCTCTTCCATGGCTGTCATCCTTGGTTATTCATCAGAACTTTTCAGTCGGTACTGAAATACTTAATGCATATTCACATATTGCATGTGTGAATATGCCACAACGAAGCCCATTATTCTGTATAGTTAAAATCCACTAATAAAAATAATATTTCCAATCAACATCCAACTCAGTCCAACTGAATCCTAGTCTCAGAGATGGGGCCTGACCGTCTGCAACACTTATGAACATTCAGAGCTGAAGACCACAGGATGATTTGTCATTTTCCCCCAAGAAGTCCCGGTCCAATCCTATTTCTCACCAACTACCACATCGTATCACACTCTGTGTGCTCCCATGATGAACACCATGCACTCATTCCGTGTACACTCTGCCCACTCAGATTTCCAGTGTTCCTCTGTTGCTTCCACTCAGGCTGTCCTACCTGCCTTTTGACTCAATGTAAATGTTAAAGAATGAGCTGAGGTATCATCTCTTCCAAGGAGCCTCTCTGTGACTTTTTATCCACTCCACAACTCTCCTCTTCCAGGTTCAGATACCAGATATGTTCACAACTGCTCTTTGGTTTTTTCATAGCAACCCAGCCTCTATCACTGCCTGGTAAACCATATATTCATATGGGAGCTTCCCCCACTAGATTGTGACACTCTTGAAGACAAGGGTGTTGCCTCCATGTCCAGAAGGTCAGAGGCTATCATGGTTGAGTCAGGCACACGCAAAGGCTATGGTATGACATAAAGCCCAGAGCCATCTGTTCACAGTAGTGATTTTGGGTGGGAAATCGGAAGAGTATCTCAAAAAGTCCTTTGGTGGGGGGTGAGGGTTCAAGCCCTTCTATTGCCATATCTCTGGAACTGTTTTGGGTTTTTATTTTTTGTTGTTGTTGTTTGTTTTTAAAAACCATACGAGTAATGGAAGCCAAGTTACATGTCAAGGAACACAGGTTCAATGTGTGATATTTGGAACTAAATATTAGAAAGCAACCTCAGACATACCCTGATTTAGGATCTAACTGTTCACTTGGTTTTGGCTTCTGAAAGTGGTTAAGGGTATGGATGAAGATTAGAGGACAGATATTATAATGTAGTGTGTGTGTATGTGTGTGTATGTAGTTAGTATAGATAATGAAGAGTCTCCCTTTCACCAAATTTTAGTGCCCTCTGAGCCCTTTTCTCTACTAGGCCTCATGTCTCTGACTGTAAAACCTGCCTACTGTCCACACAAGTGAATTCATCCACCCCTGCCCCTCAAGTCTTGAACAAATAAATACGAATCTAGGTTATAGTAGCATGAGGTTGCATCCCCAGGGATGAATGAGTTCAATTCTGTTAAGTTTCTGCCTAAGAAAGCTCAAGGACACCAACAAAATTTACTGTTCTTTCCAGCAGGCATGTCTCCCAGTCCCTGAGGGAGAATGGAAATTGATCTTCGATAAGCACTAATGAGCAACCTAGGTAAATTCCAGATGAACTAAACCCCTTTTCCTTTGCACACTTTTTATAAATATCCACTTCCCTGTTTCTGCTCAAATCCCCAATATTCCCCCTCTCTACTCCCTCATTCTTACCTTAAAAGGCCTATTACTACTCCACACAAATTGAAGTTGAGTTCAGCTCACACTGGATCATCTTCCCTATTACAATAGTTGGTTCCTGATTAAGATCTGTCCTTACTGCTTTAATGAGGGTCTGGTTTTGTTTCTCTTTGACAGCATCCTTGGCAATATATATTCTATCATCTGACATCCTAGTGGATCTGATTCTTGAGGTTCATGTGGCACTTAATGGGATGAGAATCTTCAGAAAAAGGTCCATGGGCAAGAGGAGGATCAAAAACCACCATGGGATTGTTGGAGGAAAATACCTTAAACAAAGGTATTAGGGGTGATATGTTTTAACAGAAGAGTACTTCTTAATGGGGGGAGGGAGTGGATAGGATTCAAAGTATATTATTTGCATGTAAGAATATGCCACAATGAAGCCCGTTATTCTGTATAGTTAAAATCCACTAATAAAAATAATATTTCCAATGAACATACTCCCTCAATTGAACATTTTTGAAGAAATATTATTCACAGTAAGAATTTTTAAATAAGGAGTGTTCTGATCCCTTAAACACATATTGCCTTCCCATTTTTCTGCTCAAAAATTTACTGTTGTCTAAGTTTTACATTTGTTTCTACTTAAAAAAAAATTTCAGGGAAATTGGTCTCTTGAGTTTCTATACACAAGAAAAAGTTAATATAAGAAAATTTATTGTATTATTTGTAATAGATGTTATTTATATTTGGAATATGACTTAATTCATACAATCAGAATTCCTTTTTTGTATTCTTTTAGCCATGTTCTGGCCTTTACATTTGTTTCTTTGATAGCTATTCAGATAGTTTTATAACAATGCAACCTTATTGCCTTAATGGTCCAGAAAGCAAATTTAGTTTGAGACAAGTAAGATAAAACAGACAGTAGACATACTTAATAAATTTACTTAGATCCATTCATTCATCATCAATGCATAGCACATTCCAAAAGCAAGTATACAAATTTAAAATGAATAGTAATTCAATAATAATAATTCAATAATTGCAAAAATTCTCAAACAATTTTCATTGCATGTGCCTTGATAGCATGCATTTCTTTCCGTATTGATTTGCTTTATTGAGTTAACATCAATTATTTGTTCTGATGGGAAAATAAAAATGGAAGGAGCAGTAGTGGGGAATGCACCTCTTATACTGCCGCACTCGACACGTATAGCCGGTGATGATACCAAACAGCTACCTCCCACACAGATCTAAATAACACATCTTGGCACATTTGGGTAAGTACAATGTTTATTAATCTAAAAAATGAGAAGATATTATAAAAATAGAAGAAGTAGAAAACCTTAGACAAGTTAAAATACAGAAAAATTTTAAGCAAAGTTATTTGAATCAGGCAATATTTAATATATCAAATATTAGTAACTATGTATAAAGTAATCTAAACCCAGGACACTAACCATGTCAACAGGCAGCAGGTATCCTGACCACACCCAGATTCCTTTGCCGGGATTAGTGTTCTCTGATTACATACATCATGGGCACCCCTGGTTATAATAGTATTGTTTATTATTGATATTATAAAAATAACCATTCTGTAAATGATTACACATAGTAAATAAAATTGGGACTATACATAAGAATTTGAATAATTGGAATTTCTTTAAGGACCACTTGTAACTTCTTCTGCTTGTTTCACAGACCTGTAGAGGAGAAATGAAATTAAAAAGAATGTATTTAAGACTAAGTCAGTAGTGCAACATATTAAAAAGAAAGCTTGGGATCTTAATGGTTTCCTCTACTCAGTACAAACTTTTTACAAAGACATTGTCATTAGAGTATTCCCTCTATTAACCATAATTTTCTTTCAGTATGTAAACTTCTGGTACAAATATAAAATCCTAATCAGATGAGGGTGGCAAGGGAAAGTATCCATTTCTTTAGAATGTTTGATGCTCTTTTTCTGCTTTGTCATAGTTATGTTTTATACTTCTGATTCACCAATTAGACCTTAAACATTTATGAAGAAAACTATCAATCTCCAAATTACCCACAAGTCTTGAAAGAATAGTTTGCATATGGCAGTTTGTTCAAAAAAAATATTATCTAGCAGAGGAGAGTGAGCAAAGTAAGGAAGAAAGGAAAAAGAAAATGTGACTGTTTTTGCATTTTTCCCTCTCTGGAATGCATTATTACACCAACCAATCCCACGAACTCCTTTTATCTGACTCCTTTACCATTACTACTGAAGGTAGAATTCTCTGCTGCATGCACTTATCTCACCCAAATGACTGTCACCATAATCATCAGCATTTTGTGTAAATAATTGTTCATTATATGTCTTTTTCACAACTTAATAAATTTCCATGAGAACCACAAAAGGTGCCCTGTCGCCCATGATGGTGATATGCTATTCTCTGTCATAGTGTTGGATGCGTGGCAGGCTTTTACTAAATGTAATCACAACAATGATTGACAGTCCTTGGATTGAAGAACAGTGTGCCCATTTATCATACAAAGAACACTTGAAAGACGGAAAAAGGGACCATATAATAGTGTACCTACAGTGCTGCAAGTATTGTGTACAACCCCAAAAGATAGAATCATGAAGAAGATGGCTATAAGGATTCAGATTTTGGAGCGAAATAAGATAGTAATTTATTTTAGAACAATTTGAACATATTTTACAACTTAAGCATTAAAATTTAATATTAAAATAGTATTAATGATCAAAGGACTATTATTATACCACACAGAGACAACCACTGATGGCATTTTGTCTATAACCATCCAGACAGTAACCTGAATTGTAAATTTATGATGTGTATGTTTCTATTTACCATATAGAACCAAAAATGAGTTATATTTAATACTTTGTCTTATGATTTGCCTTTTTAATAAAAATATTGGGAAAATTTTCCCAATATTTTTATTTAAAATGCACATATATATGTAATAAATATTTTAATATCAGATTAAGTATATATATGTATGTTTATATCCAACTAATGTATATTTCATCCTTCCTATTGGAATCAGAGTTTTCCATCATGTAGATTGGTATAATTTTTTGAATCAACCCTCTTTTTTTTGGTTTTGTTTCCCTTTTTATATGCTTTTCATGTTTTACTGTGACATTTTTCCCATGATTTATAGTAAAACTTTTTTCATGTTTTATGTGGCAATGAATATACTATGATTCTGAAAGCTAAATCCTGATGCATTGCAGAAATTATTTCTGTAGGTGATTCCTAATACAGACTGAATGGGTTACTGATCATCTAGAGAATAACAAAGATAAATGAGCATTAAGGGAGATAATGAAGTCCCCGTTACTCAAAGGTTCATGTGGAGTCTGGATGACCATTTGGTAGGTGTACTGAGAGAAGAGACCAGCGTGGGATTAGGAGAGGAGCAGATGATTCGAAAGTTCTTTCCAGCTTTTACATTCTGTGGTCCTATTACATGTGGAGAAGAGACATTGCTGATTTTATATCCAGTTCATAGGTTGCTTCATGTCCATGGATGTGACACTGCTCTGAGATGCTGTAACTCTAGGAGATACTTAATGGTGACAGAGTTCACAATCTGCACAGTCCAAGGGATATGTATTTCAGCTCAACTCTATCTAAATTGTATTTTCCTGTTAAGGAGAAGGGATTTAAAATCCCCATCCCATCATCACAGCATAGGAGAATATGGACTAAATGAGGACATGAGACCTACACAGCATGAGAGAGAGAGAGAGAGAGAGAGAGAGAGAGAGAGAGAGAGAGAGAGAGATTATGCAGGGTCCTTGGCACAAAATCTTTTCCCATTAAGTCAATAGGAGAATGGTTTTCAAAAATATGAACTTTGAGCATTGGAGATAGCACCCACAATTACCTGACATTGATATTAAGTGCCCTGAACAAACATACCAGAGTAGACCAGGGTAGGACAAGAAGAGCATGGAACACAAAGAAGATCAGCAGAACCTGCACAATGAAAGAAAAAAAAAGTAACATGCCAGACCAGGATAAAATATGTTTCAAACACAATTCCCTGCTGGTTTCACAAATTCCTAGTGATAGCTCATTGAAATTAATATCAGAACTTCCCTTACCATATGTAAGGAACTGCAATTTACAATTAACTCTTTAATAGCATGTATGTTCTTATTCAACAATTCTGTCATTTTCTATTTAAATTTTTATTGATTTTTGAAATAAATATAGAGAGTGTTTTTGTTATAGATGTGTACTGTGGGAAGACATCCTCTAAGTTACATCCATGATTCTGACACCCAGCTTGGGTTTGGCAGGAAAGCCAGGCACCCCAACATAGCTTATTTAATATTGGATGTCTACACGTTCCATATTGTGATATCATAAAATTTATAAATTCTACCATTATCATGATGCTATATGATTTACATGAGATAGTGTACATATACACACACGTACACCATATTTATAATGCTGTGTGTATAATATTACATGCTAAACTTAATTCCTTTTAATGCAGTCCTGTAGCAGAAGAATATTCAGAAAAGGTGGCTACTTTGAAGGAAGGGAAAAGTAGCGCTTAGAGGATAATGTGGCATAATTATTCTACTTCAAAAGAAGTGGCAAATTAAGGGTAACAGCAGACAAATTAAGAAGATAAAAGAGATAAGCAATTTCAAATGTTCAAAAATTAGTTCTAGATACACTAGAACATAGATATTAAAATAGATGGTCTACAAACGGTTAATTAGTCAAAGAATTAAAATAAAATAATAAAATTAGTCAAAGAATTTTAGACAACAACTTACTACAACTGCTTTTTTGGAGAATCAAACTATACAAAAGTGTATTAAAAACTCCTAAAAAGTCCTAGTAATTAAAAAAAAATCTATTTAACCTGATTGTCACCAAAATTATTTGATTTGGTAAAAGACTTTTCATGTAAAACTCATTTTCAGAAATGCTGTAAAGCTTCTGTTGGTAATTGAAGCTTCAACTAGAGTAAGATTTGATTTATTCTGTTGTTTCATACTTATCATAATAAAGTTCTTCCTTGGATATTGACTTGGTGTTGGGGCCATCCAGCCTGATACTGAATCCCTGTTTTGAAGTAGGGCTCCCTGCACTGGTGATAGCCCTTTCCTTCTCACATGCATAAGGATGTAACAAATGAAGCAGCTTTAGAAGGAGATAAACAAGTAAGAGAGTAGTGTCAGGTTTGGAAATAAAGATTAGAACACTCATTTTTTATTTCTTAAGGATTATGGTATAGGACAGGTTTCCACTGTTTTTCTGTAAAAAAACAGAAATCAGCTAAGACAATTAATCACAAATGCATGTGTAGGGATTGAGGTAAATCCTATATTAATGCATCATGGTCATTGCCATCCTGATGGAACTACCACTACTCTAGAGCAATAGCAGGTTAAACACACAATATATCACTGAACATGTCCTGTTTTGTAGTGTGTGTTGGTAAACCACTTATTATGTGCATGTGTGTATATTTGTAGATGTTATGGCCTCCCTAAGTAATCAGGAGACAAAGATGAAGACTCAGGCTCAACAAATCTGAACTGAATTTAATCATTTATTAAACATTTACTAAGTAAAGAGCCAATGCATAAATATCTATGAAATAAATATTTGTTAAACACTTACAATGTGAAATAGGAATACTAAAACTGAATTTTTCTTAATAGATTGATTCTTAAATAGTTACAAGCAATGTATAAACTAAAAGCCTTATATAAGTAATAATTAATACTCATTTTAAATGTTAACAAATGGGTAATCCTCCATGTCCCAATATGAAGGAGAAAGTCACATATAATTTATGTTTCAGAATAAAAAGAAAAGCTATGTTTTTGGTCTGAAAAAATGTTTAATTATACTAAAGATGATATACAGTTCTGTGATATTTAGTCAACATTTCAAAACAAGTCATTTTGAAGAAACTTGGCAGCGTGTTTTGAACAGTTGTTCTACTTTTAATAGCTTACTATGGGATTGAAAACATGCTTAATGTAATTACTAAACGCTATTTATTTTATTATGTCAAAATTTTAATTTTTATGTTTATCATATATGCCTCCCTTAATTTTCTGGATGACTTTGCTTGCAGATAGTAATTTGGAACACAGTGTAAATATAACTAAATCAAGTTGAAGTTTCTATTAAAAGCAGATTTCCTATCCAAATGTATCACTGCTTCAGTTTCTTTCTACGCTGCTCTTTCTTTTTCTCGTTTTAAGTGTTTTCTTGATGATACATACTCTTTCAGTACCCAGTAAAATAATTCCTCCCTTGATGCTACCTATAAACACATCCCTTCCACCCATATATTTTTAGTTTTTAGAGATGTAGTAAAATTTCAGAGTAGACCATAGGAACTTATTAGGTAGAATGTAAATGGTATTTACTGTGTATTCTTGGGAAAGAATATTTAACAAATCACACTTTATAAAATCAGAGTAATAGTACCTACACCAGGTGCATAACAAAAACATTTAATAAACACTAATCTTCTTCTATTGTCTCCTCTTTTAAATATTCAAATAATTTTACAAAAAAATCTTAATTTATGAGACAATGACATTTTAATTCCTAATATATCCTCCAAATAGATTTTGTGGTTTTATTTTAGACTTGGTGACAATTTTCCCAATTTATTACTAAATTAGGCTTCTATTAGAATATATGCTAACTATTCTTTTAGTTAGGAAGATTTATTATGCCATACTTTTGCAGTCCCATGCTTAGACCTTTCATTCTATCTTCATAAGATTTGGGTCTACTTTTTCTTCTATTAGGTGCAAGGTCTCTGGTCTAATGACTAAGTCCTTGATCAACTTAGAGTGGAGTTTTGTGCCAGTTGAGAGATAGGGTTTTAATTTCATTTTGATATATATGGTTTCCAGTTTTCCCAGCACCATTTGTTAAAGAGGCTATATTTTCTCCAATGTATGTTTTTGGCTCCTTTGTCTAATGTGAGATAACTGTATTTATGTGGGTTTGTCTCTATGTCTTCTATTCTGTACTACTGGTCTATGTACCTACCTGTTTTTGTGCCAAAATCATGCCATTTTTGTTACTATTGTTCCGTAGTATAGTTGAAGATCTGGTATTATAATGACACCTGTTTCACTTTTCTTGCTAAGGATTGCTTTGGTTATTCTGGGTCTCTCACTTTTCCAAGTGAATTTCATGACTGCTTTTTCTATTTCTATGAAGAACAATATTTGGAATTTTAAAAGAAATTGCATTGAATGTGTGTAGTGCTTTTGGTAGTATGATCATTTTGACAATATTAATTCTGCCTATCCAAGAACATGGTACATTTTTTCATCCTTTAAGGTCTTGCTCTGTAGTTTTCATTGTAGAGGTCTTTCACCTCTTTTGATAGATTGATTCCTAGTTGTTGTTGTTGTTGTTGTTTTTGAGGCTATTGTGAATGAAGTAGTTTTCCTAATTTCTCTTTCATTTGATTTATCACTGATGTACAGGAATGCAATGATTTATGGGTATTAATTTTATATCCTGCTACTTTACTGAATTCATATATGAGTTTTTTGGTAAAATTTTTTGGGTCTCCTTAGTATAGAATTATGTTGTCATCAAATAGGGATAGTTTGATTTCTTCTTTTAATTTCAATCTTCTGTCTAATTGCTAAGGCTAGAGTTTCAAGGGCAGCATTGAATAGAAGTTGTGAAAGTTGTCTTGTTCCAGTTTTGGCGGGGGGGTGCTTTCAATTTTTCTCCATTTAGAATGATGTCCGCCTTGGGTTTCACATATATAGCTTTTACAATGATGAAATATGTTCCTACTATCCCTATTTTTTCTAGTGTTTTGAACATGAAGAGATGCTATATTTTGTCAGATGCTTTTTCTGGATATATTGAGATAATTATATGATTCTTATTTTTAAGTCTATTTATGTGATGAATTATGTTTATTGATATCCGTATGTTGAAACAACCTTGAATCTCTGAGATCATGATCTTGATCATGCTATGCTATATTTTAATATGTTTTTGTATGCGATTTGCCAGAACTTTATTGATAATTTTTACATCTATGTTCATAGGGATATTGGTCTAAAGTTTTTTTTTTTTCCTTAATGTGCCTTTGTCTGATTTTGGGATTACAGTGATACTAGCTTCATACAATGAGTTTGGAAGGGTTTCCTCCTTTTCTATTTCATAGAATAATTTAAGGAATATTGGTGTCAATACTTCTTTGAATATCTGGTAGAATTCTGCTGAGAATCTGCCTGGCCTATGGTTGGCTTTTGATGGCATCTTCTATTTCATTGCTTGAAATTGATCTATCTAAATTGTGTATGTCCTCCTGATTCAACTTGGGTAAGTCATAAGTCTCTAAAAATTTGTTGATGTTTTCAGGATTTTCTATTTTATTGGAGTATAAATTTTCAAAATAGGTCCTGCTTATCATCTGTATTTCAGTAGTGTCAAGATATTTCTTTTTTCATCATGAATATTAGTAAATTGAATTTCCTCTCTCTTTTTCTTCATTAGTATGGCCAAGAGTTTATCAGTTCTGTTTATTTTCTCAAAGAATCAACTTTTTGTTTTGTTGATCTTTTGAATTGTTTCTTTTGTTTCAATTTAATTGATTTCAATTTTGACTTTAATTATTTCCTGTCTTCTACTGCTTTGGGTGTTGATTTGCTCTTTTTCTAGGGCTTTGGGATATAATGTTAGGATATTTATTTGGAGATTTTCTTTCTTATTTTCGCCATTGCTGAGGGACAATGAACTTTCCCCTTAGAACTGTCTTCATAGATTCCCAGAGATTTGGATATGTTGTTTCACTATTGTCATTTACCTCTAAGTATTTTTTTATTTCATCCCCGATCCATTCATCATTCAATAGTGTATTATTTATTCTCCAGGTATTAGCATAGCTTCTATTTTTTTATTTTATCATTGATTTCTAATTTCATTCCATTATGATCTGACAGAAGGCA